CACCCGCACCCGAATGCCCCGGCGTATGCTCATCGAACCACCGTCCTTCTGACACGTGGCTCGTCTTTCAACTTTGGGGGGTATCTTTTCTGGAAGCTGTTCATTGCCTGAACTTCAGGCGAGTGGGTGTGGGACAGCAGCTTCACCAACGTCACCGCCTCCAAGTTGGTGATGAAGCACGTCAGGGAGAAACTTGTTGGCTGTATAGTAAACTTTTCCATTTTGGGGGTTCTTTATAACTAATGTAGTCGATTCTGACACTTTCAACTTTTATTCCCTGACTGAGGAAGTCTGACTGGCTTCAAACCGAGCACAGCTCATGGCGAAAAATTCGCCAGTCTGTTCGAAACCGTACAGCTGGAGAAGGCCCCCGTCCAGTGCCTGACCCCACAGACCCATGGTCTGACAATGACAACAATGACGTGTCTGAGAACGACGACACGGGGACCTTGGGGACCGTGCCTGCTGACACGGGCAGCACCAGGGCATGGACTGCCGAAGCCGCCCCATGGAATGGCACAACAGTGCAAGGCGGGGCGGCATCCTCCACGACATGGGCGTCTGAGCAGCAGCCGTCGTCTGACAATCAGCAATGGGCGTCTGAGCGGCAGCAGTGGTCGTCTGACAATCAGCAGTGGCACGGCTCGGGCTGGCGTTGGCGATCGTGGTCTGAGTGGCAGGAGGCCGACGGAGACAGCGACGAAGATTCCAGGGCATGGGCCTGACTGAGTCTGAGGCTGCCTGATGACTGAGGGGTGAGTGGTCTTCCGCCTGAGATGAAAAATGCACTTTGCAGTGCGGGCGTGTACTGAGTCACTGAGTACTGCGTCTGACATGCATTGTGAGAGATTTGCCGTGCCCGAGGTTGGGTCGGATGTCATGCTCGGCGATGGCCTCTCGCTCAGACGGGCATGTCCACATGTGCAGCTGCCTGGCCTGATACTTTTGTTTTTGTCAGGGCACAGCACGACTTCCTGGTGGCATTGGGCAGGCGAGTCTTACTTATCTTGTTCTTGATTACAAGAAGCATTTTGCATCCGGAGGAGCTGGCCTGACATTGGATTGGGAGGGATACGTCGACTGAGACCAGGCCTTGAACTCAGATGCCTTATCACTGGTCGCACCTGTCACACTGTCTAAATTGCTGTTGCTTCCGTACTTCTCGTCCAGTTGTCGATTGAAATGAATCCTTGTCAGTTGTGTCACATGCGGACTTTCTGGCACACGTGGTCTTGGCCGAAGTTGGAATCATCTTTGCTCATGCCATGACTGCTGCTGCTGCTGCTGCCGCCACTTGACTCCGGTGCTGTTACTGGTGCTGCTGCCGCTTGGGGGGCGGTGACCGGCGGACGGGGCCAAACCTTGGAAGAGGGGGCTGCACGGAACTAGTGAGACCAGCCTTTCAACTCAGACACTTGTCGCTGGTCGCACACTTGATGCTTCTGCACTTGTTGAATTCAATTCCTGGACTCCTCGTTGTAACATGTTTCTTTACCGAAGCCTGATTCCGGACTTCGTGGCACGTGCGGAATCATCTTTGCACATAGACGACTGCTTCTGCTTCTGCTGCCGCCGCTTGACTCTGCTGCTGCTTGGGGCCGGGCGGAGGCAGTTCGGGTTCGGGGCTGCGTTTGTTCTTTGTGCTGATTCGCTGACCCACCGTCACACCTGCAGGGCTACTAGCCTGCGGTCTGCCAATGGCGGCAGACAATGAGGGGGGGGGGACCTGTCATTGTCCGGTGGAGTTATTGCCGGAGCATACCAGGTCATCGGAAGCTATGAATCTGCAAGTATGGGATAAGCCTGCGGCGTGGCAGTGGCGGGACCCAGAAAGGCAGAAACTTCCGACCCCCTTCATTTTGGCGGAACCCACCTTGGCCGAGTGGGGGTGAATCTGTCTGGCATTCTCGGGCAAACACCGGTGTTTGAAAAGACCATTGGGGAGGCCGCCTAGTCGTCTGTCTGATTGACTTGCTTGCTTTCGTGGCGTGTTTTGTGCTGTGGCCCTTGCGGTTGGAGGCGGAATTGAGCATGCCTGGCGGGTCTGTCTACTCTTATGTATCAAACTCGCTGGGATGTTGTAGCCATCAGGGCAGAAGCCTGCTGAGGTGAGGGGATTCTACTTGATTGACCGTTTCATTTAATAATCTGCTGTCATGTCTTGCATCGTGGCCATGCATTGCTGCAATCGAACGAAATCCAGTGGCAAGCAAACAAATCGAAAGCTAGAAAGATGTGTAATCGTCGCTGCAATCATTGGCTACCTTCAGTGCAACACCTGTACGTGGAATTATAGGGTTCTACTATGCAGTCGGTATTCATAAAGGAAAGAATTTAAAAATAGTAACTTGGTATTTCAGTCATAATTTCTATTAGATTCAGTGCAATTACGGCTGTCTTCAGTGCGGCATTGTTGCACTGGAGACGAAGTATAATGCACCGAAGACAGATTCCACTGTGTAGTGTAACTAGTGTAACATGTTAATAGTAGATTTGTATTCAGTGCAATTACGGCTCTCTTCAGTGCCGCATTGTTGCACTGAAGACGAAGTGTAATGCACCGAATACAGATTCCAATATGGAGTGCAATATTATTTTATCATTATTCAATGAATTACGACAAAGCGGATCCCTATGCATTGACGGCTACCAGCTATGCTATGGACATTAGCAATATATTAATACTATTGGATTTGTATTCAATGCAATCAGAGTTGTCTTCAGTGCAGCAGTGTTGCACTGAAGACGAATTATTATGCACCTAATAGAAACTCTAGCAGGGAGTGGAATCATTGTAATCCATTAGGAGTGGGTTTGTATTCAGTGCTAATAGAAACTCTAGCAGGGAGTGGAATCATTGTAATCCATTAGGAGTGGGTTTGTATTCAGTGCAATTACAGCTGTCTTCAGTGCAGCATTGTGGCACTGAAGACAAAGTATAATGCACCTAATACAGATTCCACTATGGAGTGTAACTAGTGTAGTATGTCAAAATGGATTTGTATTCAGTGCAATTACAGCTGTCTTCAGTGCAGCATTGGTGCACTGAAGACAAAGTATAATGCACCTAATACAGATTCCATTATGGAATGCAATTAGTGTTTTACATTTGTTTATAGATTTCAAATGCAATTGCGTGCATGTAACAAACACTCTAGCTGGACTGCAATACATGTAATTGGATCAGTATTTTAATGGAATTAGTTTGTTTTCAATGCAATTACAGTTGTTTTCAGTGCAACCTTGTTGCGTTGAAGACAAAGTATTATGCACCTAATATAAATTACAATATGGAATGTAATTAGTGAAATATATTAATAGTGGGTTTGTATTCAGTGCAATTACAGCCGTCTTCAGTGCAACATTGTTGCATTGAAGACAAAGTATTATGCACCTAATATAAATTCCATTATGGAATGTAATTAGGGAAGTATATTAATAGTGGGTTTGTATTCAGTGCAATTACAGCTGTCTTCAGTGCAGCACTGTTGCATTGAAGACAAAGTATTATGCACCTAATATAAATTCCAATATGGAATGCAATTTAGTGGGTTTGTATTCAGTGCAATTACAATTGTTTTCAGTGCAACATTGTTGCATTGAAGACAAAGTATTATGCACCTAATATAAATTCCAATATGGAATGCAATTAGGGAAGTATATTAATAGTGGGTTTGTATTCAGTGCAATTACAGTTGTTTTCAGTGCAGCATTGCTGCACTGAAAACAAAGTATAATGCACCTAATACAGATTCTATTATGGAGTGTAATTTTAATTAGTGTAAAAATAGTTATAGTGGATTTGTATTCAGTGCAATTACAGCTGTCTTCAGTGCAGCATTGGTGCACTGAAGACAAAGTATAATGCACCTAATACAGATTCCACTATGGAGTGTCATTAGCAATATACTCAAGGGCTTTTGTTTTCAGTGCAATTACAGCTGTCTTCAGTGCAGCACTGTTGCACTGAAGACAAAGTATAATGCACCTAATACAGATTCCACTATGGAGTGTAATTATTGCCGCATAAAAAAATTGCATCTAATAGGGTTCCTATGAGTCAAGTGGATAGAAGATATGTCTTCAGTGCCATCGGGTTGTTTTTTTGTTGGCAGTTAACTGCGTTTTGTGAAGCAATTGTGTGTCCAAGATGATTTGTCTGCAATGGTTTGGGCGTCGGTGTGTGTTTCAGTCAAAGGCCTTATGGCCGGAATTAGGACGGATGCAAGCTGTACACTCATGGAGGCTTTACGTATATCTTGGTTCTTAAAATTTTGTGTGATGATGTTGACTGAAGCACGGAAATCAGAGTAATTAGGAATTCCTAATCTGTTTCAATCACTGCATACGACTTTGCAAGTACACGGTATAGGCCAGGGTGCGAATATTTGCTGATGTTCTTCTGCCTCTGACCTGTGCTGGTGACTGTCTCTGAAGCAGTAGTGGCTGCAAAGTTTTTTTCGTGAATGCCTGCAAGCACCGCTCTTCTGAGGTATCTTTCACTTTCGACTTGCTGCTCCACCGTGTGATTGGGGAGTTGCGGCCTCAGACTGGCACTCCCCTTGCTTCCGTGGTTCTGCTTGAGCCTGAATGATTGTCATCGTTTGCCCGGCCTGATATTGCATCGGCCCCAGCTGCCTGAAATTCCTTGTGACGGATCGCGTGCTGTTTTGTCCTTCGCCATGCTCGGCTTTGCCATTCGGGACGACGTCAAGGCGGCCCAGATGCAGCACTACGAGTTTTTTGACTCGCCCGAGGCGTGCTTTGTCGCAGCGGCAAGGCTTGAAGCCAGAAAGCGGCTTGATCGAAAAACGTGATTCGGTCATGTAATTTCTTTAGTTTATTGGCAGTCTGGTAACTAAGGCTGGACTTGAAAGTCAGCGATGCCCTTCCGCCGATGCCTGAGAAGAAGACGAGGAGGAAGACGAAGACTGCGGAGGCTGACGGTGTCAGTGTGTCGGCGGCCTCCGGCTCCAGCTCGTGGACTGGTTCCACAAACATCATGAAGTTCATGGGGTGCAGCACAAAGTTCCTTCGCCTGACGGTCCATGACCCAACGTCGGCTATGACGGACAGGATCATCTCGCACGTGGCGACTGACGGACGAGCGACAGGAGCCCCTTTGTTCCGAGTTCCGGTTCAGACCATCTTGCGTCCGCCGCCGCCGAAAACAATGACCATGGATTTCTTCGAGGCCAAGCTGAACGTGCATGCGGGAGAGTACATCAAGACTGAGGATGATCGTGGGCCTGCCGAAGGACAGGGAGTTGTGGGGTTGCTGAAGCTGAAATAATTGTGATCCCTAATTAAACGACACAGTGGCAGCCTCAGGGCCGTGGCATTTCTACCGCCTGGTGGACTCCAGCCTGAACATGTCCATGTCGAACGTCTTGTTTCGCAACAAACCCGGGAATACACGGTCTGAGAAGCCCCACGTGTACTTCACCGGCTTCAGCGGGCCTGCCCTCCTTGCGTTTCTCATGAGTCGTGAAGGCTGAGTGTCTTGGCCAAAAATTAAGGTCTAGGTCCTGCGGCCGCTTGCGGTCGCCCGAACCGCACAACGATCCAAGGGTTCTGCTGTATGAGATGTTCTTCAAGGAGCTGCCTGAGCAGCTGCAGCTGACTGACTGCCCCCTTGTCGCCGCCCGGCAGCACGAAGACACTCTCGTCGTATCGGGGCCGTTGTTTTTTTCCGCCACTTGCCACAGGACTACTGGATCAGCCCTGGTCAGATCGAGATGCAAAGCCTGAGGATGTTCAAGGCCGAGGTGAAGCTTGTGGTTTGGTCTGAGAAGAGCATGAAGGAGATGTTGGTCTCCAAGCTTGACGGGCAGATTTCGGCCACCATGAGCCGCCTGAGAAGTCTGAAGCGGAAGAAGGTGGACCTCATCAAGGACGGTGCCCGCCTTAGTCAGACATTTGATTTGCGCCTTGGGCCATGACAGCGGGCTTTTCGGCTGAGTGGGACATTTGAAGGTTGCATCCCGGAGTTGGACGACGAGCCTGACAGCGACAACTCCAGCATGAATGATTCGGCTGAGTAGTAGGCGAGGCTGTGCCGGCGTTTGATCTGAGACGGCAGAAGCACCCAAGATCAGTCTGGAGCTTCCGAGCTTGCGGTTTTTGACATTGAATGAGGGAGCCGAAGAAAATACTTGTGTTCGTGTGTGCAATTTTGGAATGCCGGCTGCACAGCCTGAGTGCCAGTCGCACCCAGGCCCATGTCCAGCAGAAGGCCTGGAGCCAAGATACCCGTTGGAGTTCCGACAGAACGACACTACTTGTTTGCGGCTGAGGCCAAGAAGTCCTGCTTCAAGCACGGGGATTCGACGTCCGAAGGCGGAAAGGGTCCACGTGCCCGGGTTGAAAAGTCAAGGGAAGTTTAAGCCATGTAACCCCAGGGCAGGTTGTGTATGATTATCATAATGTCGCTGTCACCCTATCAATATTGTCAAAGTTGTCCAAATCGGTTGGGGATTTTTAACTTGCCAGTAGAGGATTACACCACGATATTCACGGCTGACCATGCTAGTCGTGCTCGCATTTCGAAAGCAACAGTGATTATCCATCTGATATGTCAAGCAAGAGCGTGCAGAGTGTTTTGGACAAACATCAGAAAATTGTCAATCTCGTAGCCCTTCGAACTGTGGTAGCTCCCGGAGCATTATCTCCTTACAAAATGGCCAACAGCAGAAGCTTCGGACATATCTTTCCGTCATGGGTGTGGTTGCCGTGGTTCCGTTAGCGTGCCGTTAGAGTCAGACCCGAGGTGCAAAGACTGAGTAAGCTTCTGCAAGCCAACCGCTCCCAAGTGGGGAAGGCCACTGGGCCCAGAGAATTGACCTCTGCAGGTCTGAGACTGGACGTCATGGCGATGGGTCCACGAGGAGTGGCTGCCTAAGAACTTTCGACTGGCCGAATAAAAGTTTGTGAGATAGTCGTCGGGTCTGCCTAGCGTACAGAAATACACCTCGGCCCGGGGCCGAGGCGTATTCCTGCACACTTGGCTCGGCGTACATCAGATGGCCTTGTATTGTGTTATTATGACCTGGTATAGATGTCATCTTGTCGCGGTGTACAAGAATACACCTCGGCCCCGGGCCGAGGCGTATTCCTGCACACTTGGTTTGGCGTGCAACTATCTCACAAACTTTCTTTCAGCCAGTTAAAAGTTGAACGATTGACCCTCGCCTCAATCGCCCTGCATGCCTGAGGTACGTTCTCTGTTGGCCCTGGATTTCCGAACAGCCGATCTCTTCAGAAGGCCGGGACTGTCGGCTGAATCGTTTCAGAAGTCGGCTTGGCATGATGGGTTGACCACCTCCTCCCCGCAAGATTGCGGCTTTGAGAAGTCAGAGAAGACCGGGAGCTTGTTGAGGCGGCAGTGTGCCGCTCTGCCCCGGCTCTAGAGATTGCGGCTTTGAGGGCCGCTCTGCCCCGGCTCTAGCGAAAGCCATGGCTCCCAAAACTGGCCGGACGAGTGGGGCCAAGAAGGCGGCCAAGGCAACTGCCAAAGCTAAGGCTGAGGCCACGGCGGCTGAGGCTGCCGAGGTGGAGTCTGGGGACTTTGCCATGGAGACCGGGCGTGAAGCCGTGAAAGAGGCCCTGGACTTTTTGAAGAAGAAGAAGCTCTTTCCGGCTAAGGCGGAGAAGGTCGGCACTCACTCCATTCTTCCAGATGCCTGGCAGGGCTCGAGCCTGAAAGAGGCCGGCTGGCTTTAGATTGTTAAGAAGTAAGACTGACTTCTCAATTGGCGGTTCGGTCTCGTCTGACAGGCCTCCACATTCTCAGCGAGCCTGAAGGACGTTTCTGTGGAGACCCTGGAGGTGCCACCGCCTGAGGTGCTGTCTGAAGCGGCCGAGTATTGGTTCGAAGGGAGGTCTGATCAGACCTCCCTTTTCGTGTCGGCGACGGTGACGTCTGATGAGACCAAGTCAGGCGAGATCGTGCTGTCGCCTGAGGACCATACCAAGGTTGCGGCCTTGGTATGGGCCTTCGGCAAGGCGGCGGCTTCGTCTGACAGCGACCTCTGCGAGAAGTACCGCCGCTGAGCAGCCGCATCGTGATCTCCATGGTGCGTGGCAAGGCGTCTGACCAGGCAGGGACCGTGGTCAGTCTGATCCAGGCATCTGAGGACATCGGCAAGAAGGCTATGGAGTGTTCCAATGCGATGCCGTTCAACCTCGCCTCGCGTCTGACGAGGACCCCGGCCGGGGTTTAGTAGTGACTGTCCCATTGCCAGGATCCGTAGTAGTGACTGGCTTCTTCTTGCCAGGATCCGGGCCGCCTTGTCAGCACAACACAAGGCCTCCACTCACGAGGAGGTGTTCTTGTTGTTGAAGAACATCCGCTGGAACGGCGAAGCCTACAAGGCCCGGGATTCCTGGCCTGAAACTCTTAAAACCGAAGCCCTGAACCCGACAGGTGAAGACATCTGACCAGGTGCAAAAGCTCACCACTATGCTTGACAAGACGAATGCGGCCGGCATGACTGAGTCGATGAAGGCGTGCCAGTATGTGAATAATTCGACCACGTGGTTCGGCAAGTGGAGCATCGTCACTCGCGTGCACCTCGTCCTATGAGACAAGAATCTCAGCACACACACACACACACACACACTGCATGCCGTCAGATACCAAGGGTCAACAGCTTGAAGTCCAAAGAGGAGCAGCGTTTCGTCATGTCGCTCATCTGTCAGGTCCTTGCCTCAGCAGCCACTGTCGAACCTCAGATCTTCTTGGAAGTTCTGCCCAGGAGATGCGGGAGGACAGCAGCCTGAAGGACCATTTGGGTGTGTCCCTGTCGACCAACACCCACATGCGTGACTTGAACAGGGACCAGGCGATGCAAGCGACAGGGATGCTGCATCTTCGCTTCGTCGTGCTGGAGCGGCTGAGCCATCTGCCCATCCCGGACGATGCGGATGACAAGAAGACGGCCATGGATTTTCAGAAGTCTCTGCAGAGGTGTCTGAATCCGAAGGAGTGGGCTCAGCAAGGCGGCTTGGTATCCGTCGCGGCCTTCAGCGAGCCGCCGTACTGCAGTCTGAGTAAAAGGATTGCAGGAATGCTCCGGGGCGATGACGATGAGCTCTTCAGCACTGCTGTCACTTCCGGGCAGAAGGCGGGTCCGTGGTTGTGACAGTGACATGGCTTTTGCAAGCCAGAAATGATCAGCTGCCAGGAGGAGTTTGGACCCATCCTGGAGCTGCTGACCAGGTACAGCGACGAGTGGAAGATGAAATTGGGCCGTCTGAAGCCTGAGCCGCCGCTTGAGACCAAGCCTTCGCGTGAGCTGCTGCCCGAGACGGATCCGACGACTGATACGTCTGGGACTGGGACGACTCGCACGGCTGAACAACTCCGCGAAGTGCAGCTCAAGCGGGCGGTGGAGGCTGGAGTCTGTGTACAGTGTTTGCAGCGAAGCTCGTGTCCTCCGTTTGCACGACAGGAGGAAATGGCCTTCTACATTCACTTCTACCAAAGCGACATCAGGAATCCTTCCGCTGCCTGGGCTGATGCTCTGAAGCAACATCAGCTCCTTCAGAAGGACCGTGTCCGATGCATAGACCAGGCTCTTGTCAGATCTTCTTTGGTTGCTTGACAGGCTGAGCCGGTGTTATTCATCTTCGACTCCTCGCTGGTCGCTGAAAACGGAGGCTACAGCCGCGTGCACAACGTGTACCAGCGACCGGCCGTCTTCGAGCGTGGCCTGTACGACAACTGCTTCCGAGTGTTCGAGGCGGCTTCCAAGGACGAGGACAGAGACAGAAGCTTGGTGCTTGGATTCAATTGTTTTCCGTGCATGACAGGACCGCTGGCTGACCTTTGATAGCGGCGTGCAGAAGGCCTCGAACACCATCCTCAAGTCTTTCAGGAATCATGGCTCGACGCCCCAGAGCATTATTCTGATCGGAAGCGAAGAAAGTGTTCAAGGGCGGAAAGACTACTTGCGGTCTGCGTGGCTTGGCCGCATGTTCTTGTGTTTGACTGCAGTTTCCTTTTTTGGCTTGGCCGCCTGTTCTTGTGTTGACTGCAGTTCATGCTTCCAGCCAAGGGAGGAGAGGAACTGCAAACGGCGGAAGACAGGAACCGCTGGAAGTCTCATCAGCATCGCCGGGGCCAGGGAGACAATGTACTTCGGGTGCAAGTCTGACCCCCTGCCTGCCAAAGAGCACAAATGGCTGGCGACTGATGGCGTGGTGAGCACCGCCTGTCCTGTCTCGGACTGAGACACGTCTGGGAGCAAAGTTTAATGACGGAGCTGGGGATAGGGAATCGTTGCTCTGAGGTGCTGCCGAACGTGCCCTTGCCTTCGCCTGAGAGCCTCATCCGGGTGACGGTGAGCCAGAAGAAGGAGGCCAGGAAGTCGGATATGTGCGAATTCATCCTGCTGTAATAATCGGTCAGGTCATCCCTTTGGTGTGTGGAAAGGGTGTGACCGACAACGGCGGCCAGGTGCAGGGCTGAGCATGTTGGGACGGCTCAGGCAGCACAGTAGTTTCGGCCCCGGGAGGTGGCACCGGCTGAGCACGTGGAGGACACCGACACAGTCCCTCTGGTGCACTTCGAGAGGAGCTGCTGGCTGTGTCGCAAGTTTGAGTCCATTGTCTGGGCCGGTGAATTGAATTGGCAGGAGCCCACAGGTGTACCGGATGCTGCTGCACACGGTCTCGCCCATTGCCTGTGTCGTGAACTTTTCTCCGGGGTCGGGGTGCCTGAGCGTCGTCGCCGCAGAACAGCGGGTGCCCTGCATCAACGTGGTGAGGACGCCTGAACAACGGATGATGCTCCAGAGCATCATCCGGCAGGAGCTGGCTGGTCGCGTCAAGAATGCCAACGACCAGCGATTCTACCGCGTGCCTGAGCCGCAGAGGGCTGAGCCTGAGATGCCGCCTGTCTCGACAGCGGTTGCCTCGCCCGCGGTTCCGGTTCCCCCGCCTGCGACAACGACGGTGCCACCGCCTCAGACAACGACGGTGCCACCGCCTGAGAAAACCACGGATGTCTCGTCACCGTCTGGTGAGTCTGACAGCAGCTCAGGCGAGGACGTAGAAAAGTAGAAGGCCATTTGGGTCCAGTCTGATGGAGCATTGCACTTTTAACCATGCAGCTGAAGCCTGAAGCACGTCCAGTTTGAGACGTGGACCCAGCAGATTGCACTTTTCGCCCTCAAGGATGGCAGACGAGGTAAAACACCCGAGGATTGCAGAAGTTAGTACGTGATCTGTCAAACAACATGGTGAAGGTGCGACTTGGTCAAATCTCTCAATATCCGCAATTTTTGTGCTCGGAGTCTGAGTGCCGCCATGAAGCGGCCTGCCAAGAGGCAGGCGACCCAGCTGCAGAGGGCAGTCGCTGCTGGCGTCGTCAAGAAAGCCGTGAAGCCGTTCGCCTTATTTTGCCAGCAGCGTCGCCTGAGTCCACGAAAGGCGGCTAGTGCCTGGCGTGACTTGGGGGACAACGAACGAAAAGAATTCCTGGCGGCGTCCAGGCTTGGCTTCTCGAACCAACGGCAGGCAGCAGAGAAGGCAGGCGTTCGTCTGAGAAACTCTCAGCGAACCGACCCGCCTGTGGCACCTGAGCCTCTGTTGTCTGACCGTGCTCCGGACGACATCACCTTCGGCGACTACATCGTCTGTGGCTCTCAGGCCGGGGTTGGACAGGGCGGCTACGGCGGCATCATGAAAGTAAGGCACCGGGTTTCGCATCGCATCTATGCGGCCAAGGTCAGCAACACGAATTTCCACCTGTCTGAGGAAGTCGCCTTGCTGAAGCAGCTGGCTCACGAGACCTTTCTGCCGTTGCTCGCAGAGTCGGTGGTGACTGAGGATGAGTTCGTTCCCGGCCAGATCTCCTTCATGATCATGCCTTACGTGGCCGCGGGCTCCGTCCTGCATTACTTGCACAACGTTGGAGCTTTTGATGCTGAGAAGCAGTTGGCCCTCACCCATCAAGTGCTCGCCGGCTTGGCCCACCTGCACAGGAGGACTGAGCATATACACGGTGATGTGAAGCCGCAGAACATTCTTTATGATCCATTGACAAACTCCTGTTTCATCATCGACTTCGGGATGACATACCGGCTTCCACTGGCAGAGGATTTCGTGGAGGACGGGGCAGGGGTGTACACCTATGCCTACCGAGCGCCTGAGGTTGCCAAGGGCATGTCTGAGAAGATCCTCAAGAAATTTTTGACTGTGAAGGCCGATGCGTGGGCATTGGCCATGACGGTTCACCAGGCAGCTACCAAAAAGGCCTTGTTTCATATGAGCCCCTGGAAGGCAGCGGAAAGTTTGTTGGAATTGTTTGATGCCTGCAACCCGGGCCCGCCTGACAAGAAAGCACGGTCTGTCCTCAGACTGAGCAATGCCAGTCGGGAGGTTGCCGAGGAAGTCCGTCTGATGTGGCTTGCGATGGCTGAACCGGTGCTCCAAAAACGCCGGTCTTGCCAGCAGCTTGCAGAGGAGCATGGCCTGCGGTGATTCGCGAAGCATTGCAAGCACAGTAAAACATGCAGAGCGACGTTGAAGTGGCAGACGTGTGCGTCTCTGCTGGCCTCTGCACGTGTGTGTGTGTGTCGGTGTGATCGTGTGCTGCAATGAATGACAATGACGGCCTGGACAGGTTCCGTTGCGTGCAGCGAGATGTGAAGCAGGAGCCCCAGCTTTGCTTGATACTTCAAGGCACGGCAGCCTTGACCTCTGCTGCTGACTGTAGGTCTGGGTCAGCATTGCGGGAGCAGTGCAGTCAGTCACCATCTCAGTCTCTTGCACCGTCTTGTCGGATGACCTTGGATTGTTTGCCGGGAAGCATACGAAAGTTGCAGTTCGGGCTCCGAGTGCTAGATCCCAGTGTGCACAGCCCGGGCTGCATTTTTGGCATGGCGGGCTCAGGCAGGAAAATCTGTGTAAGTTCTTCTCGGGCTGCTCTTCATGACTATGAATTATGCTGTCTTCCACGTTTCCTTGATGAGGAGCGTCTGACATCCCGAATGCAGCGACTGCTGCGGCCATTAGTCGGGCCCGGGACCTGAAGTAGCCGGATATTATCCCATTACACGACATCGACTTTGCTTCTTTCGACCAGGTGGATAATCTTGTGAGTCTCCTGATGCAGAAGAAGGGCAAGACTCCGGCCACGAAGTCCACGTATGGATTGGTGAAGATCAAAGAGGGCTTCAAAGTGAAGGGGTTGGCCGTGCAGCACCACAGCGGCATGCGGGACCTCTTGAAATTCATGATGCAGTCGGCACCAGAGCAACTAGACATGCAAGTCCGGACGATACACAGACAGATGACCGGCTGAGTGATTTCAACTGCCTCCTCCAAGGAGCAAGATCACGACGTTGGATATACTGTTTGACCCGCCGAATCAGGTGCAAATGGCAGGCTGGAGTTGCAAGCGACCGGCTGTCTTTCAGTCCCCTGTCGCCCCCGTATGAGGCTGGTCTGACAAGCATGAGGTGGTCTTGTTCCCCTGCGGGACTCCACCTTCGCCTGAGAAGGCTGACGAGCGTGTCGGCCTGTGGTATCATCGGGTAGCCGAGAGCAAGGGAATCTTCGATGGTGGCTTCTTCCACAAGGCCGCTTTCGAGCATTTGCACCTGCAAGGGCGAATACATAATAAGAGACACTCGTCAGTCAAACTCTTACTTGAAACGTGCAGAGGTCGCCACCATCCCAGGCCATATGGCCTTTGTGTGCCCTCGTGCAGCAAGAGGTCGTGTGTACCTCTTGGGAAGGAATATCATCCAGAAAGCAGAAGATCATCTGTCGCCTGAGAACAAGAAGGACCTGGAATGCATGGGGTTCGCTGCGGAATATGGCGGCAAGCTCTCCAAGCCGACCCTCCTCACCCGTGGCCATGTGATGGACATCGCCAGCCCCCTGGCCGAACTGGTTGCAAAGCCTGAAACCTTGTGTCTCTTGCTGAATCTTCCTGCCTGAGGACAGATCTACCTCAAACACGTGAAGAAGACTGTGCCTGTGCGACAGGGCTCGAAGCGGGCTTACTATTGCCCACACTGCAACCAGGAGGCAAGCTTGGGGACACTTCTGCGGGAGAAATGCTTTTGTTGTCCTGGGCAGGTGGAGCCTGTGAGCAAGAAGTCCAAGAAGGAGAAGAAGGAGAAGAAGAACAAACGTGACTGAGCCGTTGTGTATGCAATCGCACAGGATTCAAGGCCCAGTCTGAAGCATTTTCTTTGCGGTGGGTGTTGCTTATTAGAAACAGCACCGCCTGAAGCATGGGGCTTGGGCAAGTTTCTAGTCTCGCCCTGCAGAGAGACGATTAGCAGTCGTGGCGCCGAAAGTCTGTTGCATCGCTGAGTCTGACAAGGCAGCCTGAGGCATGTCATCATGAGTATCATGAGCTGCATAACAAATCCGATGCAGAGGCCGTGTAGGCCCAGGCTTGATCCTTAGGACGGTTGTAGAGAGGCATGACATCAGTAGAAGCATAGCAAGTCCGATGCCAATGTATGCGGCATGCACCTGCGACAGTCGTGACAATAGTTCACAGGGCCTCCTAGGGCAACAATGGCCGAGCGTATTGCCGAAGAGAAGCATTTGCGGCGATGCACCGCGACTTGCCTTCTGACCATGTGTGCCTGCCTCGCCATGTTCCTGCAGTGAATCCTTTCTTGACTGAGGAAGGCAAAAAGCATTGCAACGAGTGCCGGTGGATAGCACATGCTGCGGACTGGAAACAGCGGTGTACTTACACCATCAAAGGCGGGAATCTTGCGAAGGCGGTAAGACAGGACGAGCGAGTCTGTCATGCCAGGTTCGACCAGGTCATGGCTGATCCGGTCTGATCCGGGCACGAAGTTCGGCATCGGGTGCTCAGTCTGCCGTGAGTATGCCGCAGCCCTCGGCGGCAAGGAATGCGTGCCACTGCGTAGTCGGCCTTGGATCGAATGCAGCGTTGGTGCTGGACTTCGGTGCCTGGGATCGCGAATGGCATGGCATTGACAGCGGTGCATGGTGTGCTTGAGGTTTTCTCTTCTCGTGCTTCATGTCAGGTGTGGCGGCAGACCGGCTGCTCTTCAAATAGAGGACATGCTTCGGCACGGCGGCCTGAAGCAGAATGCCAATGCCCAGAAAAGCAAATTCCACCTGGCTGCTGTCCGTTTCCTTGAAGGCAAGGCTGAGGACCACGATGAAGGCCAGGGGGTGGACGAAGATAAGACAACCGTGAAACGGCTGGTCTCGTCTGATACTGGCGGCCCCACAGCCGCCCAATGCTTGACGGCACTGGAAGTTCTACTTGCTGGAGGTTCCGGGCACGAATACCAGAGGCGGTGTCTGAGCAACAATCGCACAAATCCGACTTTATGGCCAACGGGGCGTTCGTCCCGAGGAATGTTTTACAACATCATGGAGGCTGCGGCTGAGGCCGCCTTCAACGTGGACCGCCGTCGCCTGCAGCAACCCGTTCGGGCAGTGGCCTTGGCTGAGGAGCCGAATGCCAAGAGTAGTATCCATGCCGGTTTTCAGTGCGTCGTGTGTTGCAGGATGCAAGAGGCGGCTTCGAGCTTTTGAAGGTGCGGTACGTCATGGCCGACTGGTCCGTTCATTGCCGCATGCTAGACCTGGCCACGGCTGAGAAGGCTGGGCAGCACGTGAGCCAGGGCAGATCGGGTTCCAGTACAGTAGCCCTGCCAGCCGAGGCCGCACTGGAGAAAGCCAGATCGCTGCCTGACACCCTGGCCAGCTTCTTGCCGGAGGAAGCCCTCCGGAATGCTTTCAAAGACAAGATCCGCATCTTTATGGCCGACGGGGAATTTAGCGAGCCTCTGGCGGCACGGCTGAGTAAAGTGCCTCGCTTGCAGTTTCTGCGGATTTCAAGAACAGCATATTGAATGTTTGAAGGACCGCACCTTCACATGAGGTCCAGGGAACCCTGCCGGGATTGAAGGCGATTATGAGATGCTCCGTCCATAGTGGACAAAGGTCGCTCGAAAAGGCCTTGTCGTCTGACCCGGATGTGCAGGGTCTTCTCCAGAGCTGGGTGCTTGGATTTTCCGATGGCAGTGGGAAAAATCCAGGAGGATTTTGCA